CAGGCCATGCATAGTAGGCTGAGAAGTGCGTTCTGGCTACTAGGTACGACATATATATATATATATATATATATATATATATATATATATAATATATATACATATATATATATAGCTGCAGTACAAGGAAGCACACAGGGACAAATTAGGAACACGATTCACCCGCGCCAAGTGCCTGGTGGTCGTGCGCTGGTTGTAAATATTAATGTATTCTCTCCTGAGCGCTAGAAGAGCTTTTTCTTCCCGAGTGCCAGGGGAATTGTGTATATATTTAAAGTAACTTGTGATATATATATATATATATATATATATATATATATATATATATTATATATATATATAATATATATATATATATATATATATATATATATATGTATATCATGAGTTTTACTTTACGATGTCAAGTGATGTGTGTGTGTGTGTGTGTGTGCCTCTTGGTGTATATACACTAAGTGTTGACTTCAGTGGTGGACTATGTCCAGGACTAAAGTGTTCTTGCTGGCTGGTCAATACGATAAAATCCCCCCCCCCCATTACCCTTCCATAGGTTGATAAGCCAAACATCAAACCAACTCGGCCTTTTTCCCATGTCTGTTCAAGCAAACTTTTCATTTTTACAAACGGAAGCCTACGTTTAAACTTACATTTACAGGAGATGACTGCCTAAGGTGACACGGGGATTAGATAGGCGTGACTTGTAACATTTGAGGCCCATCCTTGCCTATCGTTATAAGCCTGACAGTATTATGCCTGGATGTGTGTCTCTCTCAACATTACTAACTCCTTTCTCGTTATCACGAACGGCAAGAATGATCTATCACCATTACTGATTATCTCCATTGCTCACCATCGCCTCTACTCATCATCACCACGAAGTCTCTCCATCACCAAGACTCGCCATCACCACTAATGATCACCACCAGCATCACGGCCTCACATATACAAGAGTCCCCTAAAAGAATATATAATCTAACACATTTTTCACCACAAGGCTAAAACGAGGAGAATAACTTTGCCAACTGCAAAGTACAGCATCTCCACTCTTGGCTTCTGTGCAGCGCATTTATCTAAAACATTAGAATATTTTTATGCAATAAACATGTGGGTTGCAAGATATTCATCACATATTAACCCTTTACGTGCATTTAACATCTGTGAGCAGTTCGTATAGATTAGGATCTAAGAACGACTATTGTCAATGGGCGGTTTGGGCATTTGGGTTCAAACGCTCCCACTTCAGAGACCGGACCCAGCATTCATGAACCACTTGTGAAACCTTTACATCATTCCACAATCATGGTGGCTTTGTTAACATTTATTAAGCAGTTTTCGAGCTTCGAAACTTCACATCCCGTGAATAGTACTGTTACCGGGAACCTCTTTGTGCTTCTGAGTTAATAAACTGTTTAATAATTGTAAACAAAGCCGCCACGATTGAGGAAAGACCTACAGGGGTAATAAGTCAGTGGCGGAAATGCTTGACGAACCCTATACATCTTCGCACGATCATGGAGGCTCAGGTTGAAGAGAATCGATGCACTACAAGGTTTCCAATAACAACATCAACTTAAGGACTAGAACGACCTCGCAGTGTTTCCGATCTCGAAAACTGTTTACTAAATACAAAGCAGCCATGATCGAGGAGAGACGTGCAGGTCTGGCAACTGGACATGTAAATGCGTGATGAATTATGACCCATCAGCTGTTGTTTGACCTTTTGCTTTCAACCGGCAGAGGTCTCTGGGATAGCGTAACCAAGTGATGAAGTTGCTAGTCTCTCAGTGCTCACAAGACCACTGTGAGGAGAGTATGTGGTCTGCCCTCCGCTTACCAATTCTACAAATCCTAGCCTCAGACTTTTAAGAAACACGATATTTAATGGATATTTGAGTTTAATTATTTTTTTATGACAACAGAGTCTCTCCCTAAATAAATATAGAGAGGAAGAGTAGCATCAACATATTATGACGATGTAAGGGAGGCTCAAGAGGGTGTGGTCTGGACAAGGGACTTATTGTCTCACCTTTACAGACACAAAGACAACTAAATTGTATTTTGAAGTGTTCATGGATCTTCATGTTTTTATTTAACTAAATAAATAATTTTGGAACTTCATTTTTTTTTTTGGGGGGGGGGGGGGGTGTGGATCGGGGTAAACTCGTTTTGGATATCTTGCTACACTAAAGAAATAACAATTACGAATTTGTTCGTTATATTTCCATATCTTTTTTTTGTTCTTCATTGAATTACAGGCAGCATTTTCCTTTCTCATTTTCCCCCAAACAACTTATGTTAACTAATATTTTTTTTTGCCTCATTTTCTGCAGTCTCTGTCTTATTTACAACACCTTCATAAGGAAAAACTACTTCAATATTTTTTTATTTACTCTGTAAATATCTATAGATATTTATATAAATATCTATAAATATTTTTTATTTACTCTATAAATCAAAATGGGCTTCCAGAGGCTTTAACCTCATTTTTTACATCACTACATCCGCACTATAATACATGAAATATTATTTTCTTTTCTTCCGAAATTCCCATGTTTTTCTCTAAAAAATTAAATTATAAATTGTTAAAATTTGTCTGATGAAAAAATTCTGCACTAGAGAGAGGATCCCAGATTCATTAATCAGCCAAAAAGGTTATGAACGAAGAAGATAATGCCATTCAAGTCAGTATCGAACTCCCACTTTCATTTACATTTTAACAAACACTTCTGTCATATTATCATGTATTCATACCAAGAAAATATACACCATGGGGTATACTTAGATTATAATGCACTTATAGTATGCTTAATCACCTGAGAGTGCACCAGAGCGTCAAGGTATCCAAAGTGTGTGTATATATATATATATATATATATATATATATATATATATATATATATATATATATATATATATATATATATATATATATATATATATATATATATATGTCGTACCTAGTAGCCAGAACGCACTTCTCAGCCTACTATGCAAGGCCCGATTTGCCTAAAAAGCCAAGTTTTCGTGAACTAATTGTTTTTCGACTACCTAACCTAACCTAACCTAACTTTTTCGGCAACCTAACCTAATCTAACCTATAAAGATAGGTTAGGTTAGGTTAGGTAGGGTCGGTTAGGTTCGGTCATATATCTACGTTAATTTTAACTCCAATAAAAAAAAATTGACCTCATACATAATGAAATGGGTAGCTTTATCATTTCATAAGAAAAAAAATTGAGAAAATATATTAATTCATGAAAACTTGGCTTATTAGGCAAATTGGGCCTTGCATAGTAGGCTGAGAAGTGCGTTCTGGCTACTAGGTATGACATATATATATATATATATATATATATATATATATATATATATATATATATATATATATATATATATATATATATATATATATATTTTTAGGGAGCCCTGGAGGATATACCTTCTGCTCCAGGCTGGAGGAGCTGTGCTGCTGGACCTGCTGATTAACTGTGACGGTGGAGGGTTGTGATGGTGAGGTGTTGCGATTGTGAGGGTTGTGATGGTGAGGTGTTGTGATGGTGAGGTGTTGTAATGGTGAGGCGTTGTGAAGGTGAGGGTTGTGATGGTGAGGGGTTGTGATGGTGCGGGGTTATGATTGTGAGGGTTGTAATGGTGAGGGTTGTGATGGTGAGGGTTGTGATGGTGAGGGGTTGTGATGATGAGGAGTTGTGATTGTGAGGGTTGTGATGATGACGAGTTGTGATGGTGAGGGGTTGTGATGGTGAGGAGTTGTGATGGTGAGGTGTTGTGATGGTGAGGTGTTATGATTGCGAGGGTTGTGATGGTGAGGGGTTGTGATGGTGAGGGGTTGTGATAGCGAGTGGTTGTGAAGGTGAGGGGTTGTGATGGTGAGGGGTTGTGATGGTAAGGTGTTGTGATGGTGAGGTGTTGTGATGTTGAGGTGTTGTGATGGTGAGGGGTTGTAATGGTGAGGGTTGTGATGGTGAAGGTTGTGATGGTGAGGTGTTGTGATGGTGAGGGTTTGTGATGTTGAGGGTTGTGATTGTGAGGGGTTGTGATGGTGTGGGGTTGTGATGGTAAGGTGTTGTGAGGGTGAGGTGTTGTGATGGTGAGGGTTGTGATGGTAAGGGGTTGTGATGGGGAGGGGTTCTGATGGTGAGGTGTTGTGATGGTGAGGTGTTGTGATGGTGAGGTGCTGTGATGGTGAGGGATTGTGATGTTGAGGGTTGTGATGGTGCGGGGTTGTGATGTCGAGGGGTTGTGATGGTGAGGGGTTGTGATGGTGTGCGGTTGTGATGGTGAGGTGTTGTGATGGTGAGGTGTTGTGATGGTGAGGTGTTATGATGGTAAGGTGTTGTGATGGTGAGGGGTTGTGATGGTGAGGGATTGTGATGGTGAGGTGTTGTGATGGTTATGGGTTGTGATGGTGAGGGCTGTAATGGTGAGGGGTTGTGATGGTGAGGGCTGTAATGGTGAGGGGTTGTGATGGTGCGGGGTTGTGATGGTGAGGGCTGTAATGGCGAGGAGGTTTGATGGTGAGGATCTGTGACGATAACCTTATATGATATCAGATGGTGTTGGACTGTTGAATAATGGTGACGTACACTGGAAGAATAGCAATGAGAATGGTGAGTGAAATGGGACTGGATGGTGATGTGCAGTGAAGGTGGATGAAGGGACGACGAACGATGACAAACAGACGCCAACGGAGAGTTTACCTGGTGCTGAAGAAGATAATGAAGACCAACAAAGAATAATTACGGAACACGGAACACTGACGTAACGAAAGCGAGCAGAAACGGAACCAACACATGGGAGGGTTTAAGAAGCCAAACGGGTTTGACAAGCTAGCATGATATGTTTGGGAAAAGGTAGGGAAATGGGGATTAAGAAGGATTTGGAAGGGAAAGAGGGATGGGGAGGGCGCAAGGAGCGTTTAGGAGGCGTTAGGGGCGGCGCTAGGGGATCCCGTAGGTAAGGGCTAGGGGGCGGCACTGTACCTTGTTGATATCCTTGTGCGGTAACAAGTTGGCGATGGGCGGCGGAGCCTCTTCATCTGCACGGCCATTGATGGTGTTTTCAAGAGTACCTCCTTTGGAGTGAGCCTTCGGATCGTGCAGCTTGTACCGAACCTCCTGGAACAATGCCAGACTTACGACCGGGCCGGGGACAAGGAATGGTACAGTGAGGGGGTGTAGCGCTGTACCGCCAGTGTGTACGCGGTACAGTGGTAGTGGCGGAGGGTTGTACCGCTCGTGTATATATGCGGTACTGTGAGGGTGTCGGGGAATTATACCCCCTAAGTGCGGGCTAGATGCGGTTCAGTGATGAATTCGGGGATCTGTACCGCCTATGTAAACACGGTACAGTGGTGGTGGTGTGGCACTGTGCTGATTGTGAGCACGTGAAACAGTATATACACTGCAGGCGCAAAAGCGCAGTTAAATCAAGAGAATACATGCCACTGTGCACCAGTTACAACCTGCCTCCTGCGCTAACACGCACCACAAAACAATCAACAGTTAGTAAGTAATTATCAAAAGAGGCAACAATCAACAGTGACTATGGGTATTCAGTGAACACACCCCACACACACAGACGGCCTACACAGCTATCGTGCCAATGCAGTGTCGGGGAAACTGAATTACATGTGCAGTGTAAACAAGTACATAACCTATACATAGCACAAGAACCACGGTCAGGTAATGTTGTCACGCTCTGTTGGGGAAAGTGTATTTCCAGGTTGTAATGTGACGATGTGAGAACTACAATAGTGGACAGTCAGTCGTGGGAGAGAGGCCTATGTAGAAGACGTGTTTGATCTTCCGCCTGCGAGTTACACATACACATAAATATATAAGAAAAAGCAACAACTATAAAAGACTAGGGTTGGAAGAATTTTGTCCTGATAATAGAACTGAAGAATATATATATATATATATATATATATATATATATATATATATATATATATATATATATATATATATATATATATATACATACATTGATCAACCCGTCCTAAGGGCTGAGATATCCTTCACATAATCACTTCAAAACCACTACATATTTAGTGCTATTGTTTATCCATGGTATGGTTAGGTCAAGGTTTGGTTAAGTTAGATTAGGTTTGGTTAGGTTAGGTTAGGTTAGGTTTGGTTAAAGCAGTGTATTATTCTCAAACATGTAAAATAGGAAATTCAAAAACTATTTGAGCATTTCCTACGAATTTGAGATTAAAAAAAAAGTCTGCCTCAGAACTTTAAAAATAAAACAAGTTTACCATACACGTTATATAATTTAAACACGGAATTTTTAATACAATAAAGTTACAACTTGAGAATATACTCTGTTTAAGACAAATATTCATTCCCCTGTTTACCAGTAGACTAATATTGAAACCGTAATAGACTTTCAGACCATCATAAATATTTAGATAACTCTCCAGGTGGTCAGAGAGGGTGGTTGGTGTCTCGACCTAATAACTTTAGCCTGAGAACGTCTCTCTTGTAGACATATGTTGTTCAGAATGACAGGAGGCCAAGATCAATATTCTAACACAAATCCTCACTATTTTCCCTCACTTCAGAAAGAGGTTGAAAAATTAACTCTTTTAAGTTCATCAGTTTAATTATATCCTGATTTTTCGTTGACCGTTGTCAACATTTTCAAAGGTCGAGTACAACTGGCAGCAATTTTCAGAAGAGACGAGTATATAACTAGGAATGAGGTGACGCACCTCACTATGGACTAATACACCCACTGCTGCTCACCAATCTCTTATGTTTCAATGAAGGCCGAGACGGTATGAGGGATGTTTCATCTTGGTTTAGAAGCTGTTTGTTGATAGTTGGCTGGGTATGTTTGATGCATAGTGCCTCGCCAGTGTCCACTCTTCTGTTGTGACTGCATTTGTTGATCATTTTAGTGCTGTACCACAGATATCTCTGGTTAAGTGTGGAGACTGTATGTTTTATGATAGGGGGCCTAGCTGTTTGTGCATTGTCAGCGCCTTGAAAGAGATGTTTTTGCCTTGCCTGTATAATGACATCGTTGGGGCTGACAGTTTCCAAGTGGGCGTGTGGAGGCATAGACGATATTCGTCTCTCTCAAGGGTGCTTGGCGAGAGGGAAACTTTTCATGGGGAACTTGGCAGTCATCTTGCTCTTTTAATATATTAAACCCTTACCCACGCAACCAGGGGACTGAATTAATATTATACTGAGGAAGAAGATTGCCAACTTACTTATGAAAAACTCTCCTGACACCAAACAAAACACCTTGAAAGAGACGAATATCGTCTGTCTTCACATGACCACTTAGAAAATGTCCGCCCCAACATTCTCAGTTTAGAGGCAAGAAAACAGCCACTCTTTCAAGGTGCCTGACACAGTCCGTCCCCAACGTCAAGAAACTGTCGTACTAAAGTGCCCTTATCCTAACCTACCAGAGAACCCAAAACAGAAAACGGGATAGTGTGTCAATTTTGCCAGCCGCTACAATTTTCTGGTACGACGATTTTTGGCTTTAGGCACAGTATACGTCAAGATGCGACTTGCTATTACCTGGTTGATACTGGATGGGGTTCTGGGAGTTCTTCTACTCCCCAAGCCCGGCCCGAGGCCAGCTCGACTTGTGAGTTTGGTCCACCAGGCTGTTGCTTGGAGCGGCCCGCAGGCCCACATACCCACCACAGCCCGGTTGGTCAGAGGAATAAATCTAGTTTCCTCTTGAAAATGTCCACGGTTGTTCCGGCAATATTTCTTATGCTTGCTGGGAGGACGTTGAACAACCGAGGCCGGGCTGTCTGACTATTCAGAAACATTAAGGCCCAAGTATCAATGAACACACAGTCTCCACACACACAACCAGATCATCACCAGAGATATCCTGATGAACAACACTAAAATAATCGACAGACACAGGGACAAAAGACGATTCGACATTGACGATGCACAACACATCAAACATACCCAACCAACTACCACCCAGGTTACACTCTAGGTAACCAGCTTATGTGCCCAGGTTACACTCTGCCAGGTTACACAAGGCAAAGACAGCAAGGCCCTGTCAATGAACACAGTCTCTATACGCAATCAGCTCGTCACCAGAGATATCCTGACAGACAAGGATAAGTGTTGACAAGGGGTCAATGAAACGCATCTCGTAGTCTCAGGTCACAATAACACTGGAAAATGAACTTTGGAGAGTTCATTTTTCAACTTCCTTCTCATGTAAAGAAAGATTCGTGGTAGAATCACTGCCATGTTATACGAAAGCGCTCAGGCACAAATTCTTGAGATTGAAGGTTTGACGTGAGCAAGTGAGGTAGGGATGCGGACGCTGTGAGGGGTGGAGATAGAAGTGAGTGATGGTTGTCGTGTATGGCTAGTGCGACGGACGACACTGGTTGTCGTGCATGGATGTTGGGGGGGGGACGCGATTGGTTGTCGTGCATGATGTTGGGGGACTACGCGACTGGTTGTCGTGCATGATGTTGGGGGACTACGCGACTGGATGTCGTGCATGATATTGGGGGGGCGACTAGTTGTCGTGCATGATGTTGGGGGGACGCCACTGGTTGTCGTGCATGATGTTGGGGGGACGCGACTGGTTGTCGTGCATGATGTTGGAGGGGGGACGCGACTGGTTGTCGTGCATGATGTTGGGGGACGCGACTGGTTGTCGTGCATGATGTTGGGGACGCGACTGGTTGTCGTGCATGATGTTGGGGGGGGGACGCGACTGGTTGTCGTGCATGATGTTGGAGGGGACGCGACTGGTTGTCGTGCATGATGTTGGGGGGACGCCACTGGTTGTCGTGCATGGATGTTGGGAAGGGGGAAGGGAGAGGGGGCAACAATGGTTGTCATGCATGAAGAAAAATAACCATTAATGAATCTCTTATTATTAACATCACTTAACTTTTTCAGGACGATGTGCTAGTTATGGACGCCTGTTGCTCACTCAACAGGACTTTATTTTGGTTATGGACGCCTGTTGCTCACTCAACAGGACTTTATTTTGGTTATGGACGCCTGTTGCTCACTCAACAGGACTTTATTTTGGTTATGGACGCCTGTTGTTCACTCAACAGGACTTTATATTGATTACGAACGCCTGTTGTTCACTAAACAGGACTTTATATTGGTTACGGACGCCTGTTGTTCACTAAACAGGACTTTATATTGGTTACAGACACCTGTTACTCACTAAACTGGACTTTATATGGGTTACGGACGCCTGTTGCTCACTAAACTGAACTTTATATTGGTTATTGACGCCTGTTGCTCACTCAACAGGACTTTATATTGGTTATGGACGCCTGTTGCTCACTCAACAGGACTTTATATTGGTTATGGACACCTGTTGCTCACTAAACAGGACTTTATATTGGTTATTGACGCCAGTTGCTCACTCAACAGGACTTTATATTGGTTATGGACACCTGTTGCTCACTAAACAGGACTTTATATGTGTTACGGACGCCTGTTGCTCATTCAACAAACCACAAATTCGCCAAGGACGCCTTTTGCGAAATCAACAGCACACAACGTTCCCGATGGATGCCGTTTCTCCATCAATAGTCCGTAATGTTTGCCTGTTGCTCACTCAACAGGAGTCAATACAGTACAGGAGTGTGTCAACGGACCTTTCTTTTCACCTGTGAGGCTCAGGAAATATATTTTTTTCCCCTGCGCTTTGGGTTACGTGTTCCGTACACAAATAGAATTATGCTGGGGATAATGTTTAGATAATATTAATAATAACAACATTGTTATTATTTATAATGATAATCAGCGGTGTTCTAGTGGTAGAGTACGCGACTGGCAATACTGGGGATCACGGGTTCGCGTCCACCTCATAGCCTAAACGGATTTTTTTTTATTAATAATAATGTTATCATAAATAAGATGAGAATCTTTTATCTTAAGTTCAAACTTGGTATCACTTTCTTGATGACTGTTTTGCATGCGTTTAGACAACATTATAATTACCAAGATGAAACTCAGTGGTGGTGCCATGAAAACAATGATAGAACCATGAAAACAATGATAGAACCATGAAAACAATGATACCATGAAAACAATAGAACCATGAAACAATGAAGAACCATGAAAAATGATAGAACCAT